TATATATATATATATATATATATATATATATATGACTGGAACCATGATGACAAAGTACAACTACTGGTACACAACAGTGTCTAATACAGGGCCATTAAAAGAAGCTTTTGTACTTTTGGAACAAAAACTAAATAGTGAACTACTACTTTTTGCTTGCCGTTATCCAATTACGAACTGGTTTTAAAATGTGTAATTAAAACAAAATTTCACCAAGTCACATGTAGCCCTATTATCCCAATTTTCAAAAATTTTAGTTTAACTGGAAAATTAATATTGCATCAATCGAGGTGGACAACTATTTACTCTTTAAAGATATTTTTGTTGCAATCTTAGATCAAAAATAATACAGTTAATGATGCAGCTAAAAGAGTAATAAAATTTATTTAAAATTTTCATTGCTTAATCACTGCAAAGGAAGAATAAAACAAATTTGCTATGTTGTTCGCAAGACCATAGAAATCTGTATTGAGACTATAAAAAAGAGACACTTAAAATTAAATATCATGGTTGATCTTGAATTTTTTAATTTTTAATAAATATTTTATAAAATATTAGTGTCTCAATTGATTTATCTACAAAGCAAGAAGGGTTAAAACATCAATTTTCAAAATCTTTAGAGTTCAGTCGATCTGCGTTAATTATGTGAAGAAAGATAAAATCTTGTATTTAAGTAGGTCTATTATAAGGGTAACTTAATTTTTTTTATTTTTTTTTTTTACAAATTTGACACGAAAAAAAACTATCAATATTACGTTTCAATTAGATTTTTTCTAAACTTATAAAAGTGCAACTTTTAAAAAGTGTAAACTGAGGCACATCTTAGCATTAAAAAAATCTATTTTGGAGACATTTTAATTGCATCTATTATCTATACTTTATTACGTTATTTGGTCATTAATAAAAAATGTTGTGCTTCTGTAATTTTATATTCTGCATGAACCTGTATGTTTATATTCTTTTAATAAATATTTTGTAAAATATAAGTCTTTCAATTGGTTTAGCAACATCCTGAAGGTAAATAAAGGAAGAATTAAAAACAGCAATTTTCAAAATTTTCAGAGTTCTGTTGGCATGCGTTAATGTTTTAGTACGAAAATAAATCATTGTATTTAAATAAGTTTAAATAGTTTGTATAGATGAGTATGGGATATGCATTTCGATATCAGAAAAAAAGTTTAGGGGGTAAGGGACACCTTCAAATATATATATATATATATATATATATATATATATATATATATATATATATATATATATATATATATATATATATATATATATATATATATATATATATATATATATATATATATATATATATATATATATATATATATATATATATATATATATATATATATATATATATATATATATATATATATATATATATATATATAAGTATATAATCAGCTAAGGTTGCTCCTCTTTATCATTTTCACTACTTTTTTATTCTGGATTCTATTCTTTTTCTCTATAAATCTCAATCCGTCCGTGTATGGATTACTCTTACCATATATGAATTACCATATATGGAACCGTGTATACTTCCATATATTATTGTGTATGGATTACCATATATGGAATGGATCTTTGATTGATCCCCTTTCTCTTTCAGACAAGGTGCACAAATGCATTGTTAGCATAGTTAGACCTGCTTTTTGCAGGCAACCTTTACCATCGTAACATTGTAATTCGTCTCTTTTTTCTATAAATGCTCTAATGGGCGCTGCTCTAAAGAGTTAGCATCTGTTGTGCAATCTACAAAAATCTTGTTTCAATTAAATCCCATCAATTAATGTGAGTTTTTCTAAAAGATCCAAAAAATTTTACTTGTCTAATTTTTTTCGAAAATCAGTTCTTTGGAAATTGCTCCCTCTATCTTGTTTTCCTGATTTATTTAAATTGCGATCTATTAAGTTTTCTGTTTAATTTTTCATCAACGATGATCGGAATATCATGAGATCATTCCATGCACAATTGTAGCTGTACTGCAGGTCATCCACCAGCCTTTATATATCAGGGTAAAGAAGTTGACAAAATCTCTCACTCTGGTAGTTTGTGCTTTTGTAGTTATTGTGCCCATTGAAAGATTACGAATCCGTTTTTCAAATAGACAGGTTTTAATTGAATATATGAGCTTCGCATTCGATCGGGCTTTGTGTAGTGCTCCAGAGCGCTTAAAGGTCATTGTGTGTCCTTCTTTTTCACAATTAAGAAAAAAGTGCACTACCAAACAAATTCTAGATAGTCATCTCTACGATAATCTAGTTCCGAATGAGCAAGTTTCATAACCTTTTCTCTACAACGGTCAGTGAACGTTTTAGCTTTTTCAGAAAAGGAGGTGGATTTAAACCTTGACAGTCGATCAGCTGGACGCAATTGAAGTAGCTCAAAGTGTTTACGAAATCTTGTAAACAAAGTGACGTCTGGCGATTTTAAAACTTCGATTTGGAGGTCGGAAAACACATGAGTTTTCCGAAAACAAGATTGTCTCTCCAACATGAAGTCGACACGCATTTCAAAGAAGACATCGACCCAAGCGTTGCTGAATGGTCACACAAGCTACAGTGACATGCCCTGTGTTTGATGCAGTTGTGTCAAATGCCATGCAAATGATGGAGTTGGTGCAGTTCCATGACTTTAACAGGTAGAGTGTTAAATCTGCAATAATATCACCAGATTTTCTATCTGTTCAAGGTTCATATGCTGGAACACCAAGTAGCTTCATTTCATTAGCAGTTCCTACTAGAACAGAGAGATGCTCCTCAGAAATGTTTCTGTTGGACAATGATGACATTTGTTTGGAATCCCAGTGCAGAGTTGCGAGTTTAGAAGGAATCACTTATACCTGAAAGATTCTGCAAGGTTCTTTCCCACTTTCCGCCTAGATTTATCAGCATAAGAATATGATGCAGAAACCTTAGTTGAATTGCCTTCAGCTTCCTCAATGAGAACCTCAGTGTAAATTGCCTGCTGCGCTGGTGTCAATTTTAAGCGGATTGCTAGTGCAACAAGCCTCGGTCATAGTACAATGTCATGTGGTATGAAGGCAGGAGTTCCAGTGCGGGTATTATGACGATGGCTTTTACTTGTTGGTGTTTTAAATTGAACACCAACAGCAGAGGAATCACTGTCCTCGCCCAATTTAACATGATCTTCAATACTATCATCTTCATCAGTTTCTTTGCTGCTTTTAATGTCACTGACATTGTATGATTCTGGTGAGAAATGACTAGACATTCTTTCATGTCTTTTTGCCACACTTTGTTCCCGTTTGTGCCGACGCAGAAGTTTATCCGCCAACACTTTATCGCATCGACCAAAGGTGGCCAAACGATCAGTCTTCATCGACTTCAGAAACTTCATGTCTTCTAAACTTTTTACAAGCAGTTCCGCATTTGCCAACCACAGAAGAAATGTCTTTGCTAGCATACATTCCGTCTCCTGTATCCTCTGAACCGGGCATGGATCTACGTTTCAAAGGCATTGCTCAGATCTTGGCATTGTCATCAAGAAGTTTAATGATCTTTTTGCATGCTTTACGTTCACTAATTATTGGAATATTAGCCTTATCATAAAACAGCTTCAGCTTTGTCAAGACAAGTTTTGCTGACTCTCATCTAGTTCGATATGTACTAGCTCCGTCATCAAGGTGGTACTTTAGACAGCGCAACACTTGACGAGAAGTTGAAAGCCGACGCCTGGTTAATTTTGCGTCATCTTCAGTTATCTTGCTCCCAAGCTTAAAAATGATGGTTGATTTTCGTGTGGCTATCTTCTTGATGTCTTGATTGCCAGATGAACTAGGGGGAGGAGGTGTTTGAAGTACTGCTGTTGGGTCAATTTCCGCTGCTTAACTCATACTGGTACAGACTAAAGTGCTGCTGGTGGTATTCACAATATCCAATTATTTGTTAAACTTCTTACTTTTAGTAATTTAAATTGTTAAATGTTAATCTAAAACAGAAAACTATAGTTTAATTTGATTATCTGACAATTATAATACCTATAAATAAATAATCACTGATAAAATCAAACATAAACAACATTTATGTAATATATGTACATAACTACTAAGTACTAACTAGTAAATGCATAAAACAAAAACTCTTTTAATTTTTCAGTTTTACACAATATAAAATATATAATTTATTACAGAAATTTTTACTATTTAGACTAGCACATAAAATTTGAAACAAAGATGACAACAAAAAACTAGTACAAGATCTGTTGAAATATTATGTACGGTGGCAAAGGAGTGATAATTATAAATTAGATATATTTAAAAAAATAATTATTTATATTTATTTTATTTATTTTAGTTATACTTATAAAAAAAAAAAGATTAGAATAAAATTTACTTATAGTCATTTATATTTTTAATTATTATTATCGAAAAAAACCATACTTATTTAAAATACTAAAGAATTTTACATTCGTTCTGGTTCTTTCGCGTATGTCGAATTTTTCGTACAATGACAAAATTTCAGATTTGTGGAGGACCCCCTAAATCAATTAAGATTTGTAAAAAAAATTGGCAGAAGTTCATTTAAGGTCTAATGGAACGTTTTGGGACTGGCGACAAAACAATTCTTTGATATGAGGGCACTGGATGCATCCTTATATATATATATATATATATATATATATATATATATATATATATATATATATATATATATATATATATATATATCTACACACACACACACATATATATATATATATATATATATATATATATATATATATATATATATATATATATATATATATATATATATATATATATATAAAATAAATATATGCTTTTAAAAGTAACAAAAGGATGTGGGGCATATAATTTATTATCCAAGTATTATATTTAAGTATTTTATATATAAAAAATATAATTTGTTATGAAGTATTTCAAAATTTTAGAAATGATTATAGTTAAGTACATTTCATTTTAGATTAATACAATGTATAAATTACTAATATTTGTATTTGTAATTCAGATGAGTGCACATCATTAAATAATCCTTGTGATTTGAAAAAGGCTGTTAGCATTAATAACGACGGAAAGTATGAATGTATAGAAGGTAAGTTGCTCTAGATTTGATTGTTCGTTCAAATATAACTTTAAGAGTTAAAACTTTATTTTAATGAATGTTTTATCAGAAAAACTGCATAAGATTTTAAAAAAATGAAAAAGATAATTTCATGAATACTTCGCTTACCCACCACAACTAAGAAAAATATGCGCGCTTTAAAAAAACTTTAACATTTAGAAGACTTCTAAATCTTTGACTTAACTCTTTCTTTTAGACCTACCCATTTGAGACCCTACCTACCCATACCTATGTTGAGTCTCAGCATGAGTCTTATGCTTCATTAGACTGAGGCTTAGCCTGAGAGTTTTTAAGACATGTTATGCCGGTTAAAAGGTTAAATGTAACTTGTATAGCTAACTAGGATTTTTTTATGGAGATTGTGAGGCATTTGTATAATCTTTTTATGTTACAAAATCTTGTATTTTATCATTTTTGTGTCATACTTTTTGTGTATGTGCTTGATAGCATTGCTTATACCACATATATCCCACTTAGTTTTAATTTGCAAAACAATAAAAAAGTGAAAATAAAGAATTATACTGAGCTTTTTAAATTTTTTTAAGTGGTTCGTTAATAAGGCACTTTAGTTGTCCTTTAAAAAAAAAAAATTTAATTCTTAAGCAGGACAGTTTTCCGGCTAAAGTATATAAAAATCATTCATTAAAACATTTAAAGTGCGGCCGTGGCGCACCTAAATAACAAAAAAAAAAAAAAAAAATTAAGAAAAAATCTTATCATGTTAAGGTTTTTTTAGCGCTTTATAAGATTTTCATTAGCTTTAAAATTTTTTAATGAGTATATTGTCCATTTATGATTACTTTTTTATATTTATATTACAAAATATATTTGTTATATATATGATTTAAATATTTTTATTATATTTACAATATAAAGTATTATTTATTACAGTCATTTAGTTAAACCTATAGTTTAAACTAAACAACTGCTTGCAACATTGTAAACGATTGTTTTAGAAAAAAGATTATTTAAAATTGATACGCAAATTAGAAGTATCAAGCTTTTCAAAGTTTAATTGCAAAAATGTTTCTCTTGCGTGTTACGCAACAAAAAAGCTATTCAAATATTAGTGATCGAACTTTTAAGGTTACTAAAAAAAAAATGATTTACAAAAAACGATACAAGAATTATTATAATTTTTTACAAAAACGATACAAGAGATATTAGAAACCTTTAAGAAAACAGTTGACTGTAGTTGATTGAAACTTTAACGCAAGAATAGTTCATGAGTAATTTTTTCTTCCTGATTGTGTTGGCCTTCGCACTACATCATTCGCCCAAAACTCAACAGTAAGACTTAAATCAAATGCATTTTGTTATAATTTTGTTTGACTTGTAACTTTTTTGTGTCAATTTTTTACTTTTGTCTTTTTAATGTTTTTGTGCTGGCCTATAACTGGACCTAATTTTGAAACTTCTAGTACCATAGAATATGAAAATTTTGGTTTTTAACCTGCAACTTTTGATTTTTTTGCTAATAAAAACATGAACTACTAATTTTTAAGGCAACTACATTTCCAACCTATTGAGTTCTCAACATACTGAAATTTCAACCTGCTGTATTTTCAACCTGCTGTATTTTCAACCTACTGTATTTTCGACCTACTATTTTTTTGATCGACTTTATAACTACGTATTTTCCGGTATGTATTTATATGTTGTTGATTTGAATCAGAAGTAAATTTAATGAATATATATATATATATATTATATATATATATATATATATATATATATATATATATATATATATATATATATATATATATATATATATATATATATATATATATGAATAATTATATGAATAAAACCATGGTGCAGTAACTGGAGCGCTGGCTTATAATTGAGAGGTCCAAGGTTTAATGCCTGGTCAAGGTATGTAAGGCTGTGTGAGTTTTCCTCTTAAATGATCTTCCGCGCAGCTCTCTGACAAAATAATTAGATCTTGTTGGAGCACTTTATTTATTAAAAGAAAAAAAAAAAAAATTCTAACATTTGATGTAAATGGCAGTATTTTATTCTTCAAGGAGACCAAATAGTCTTTTTGTAGAGCACCGCAGAAGGGCATTTAACAAGGATGTTTATACCTCCTCCCGGACCAACACCGCTTATCTGACTTCTTTTTATATATATTACTCGCGACTTTATAATACAAGATAGTGGTGTGGGAGGGGGGGAAGGCCTAAAGACTACTCAGCATAGTTAAGAAGAGATCCGATGAAAAATATTGCGTTTAGGCCCATTCGCTTTTAAAAAAATGTTGTTTTCTTTTACGCGCGTTTTGATTGGTTTATTTTAATACTAGCTTAATACTACGGGGCAGAAAGAAGTTATACAAAGTTATACAAAAGCTGAAACATTTTTCCTAATTCCGAGGTTTGTTACTTTATGTCTTTTCAGATTATCTTTCACAACTGTTCTCTCTTGGAAAAAAAACATACACAATTCATTGCAAAATTAACTTTTGTTAAGGTTCCCTTTTTTTTTATTAGCTTAATATTATATTCAAGCTGTTAAGGCTAAGGTTACCTCTACTTTTTTGCTTGCTATTTCATTTTCCACTTCTATAAATTACTTATTTATCCTGGTATGGAATACTATTTCTATATTTGAGTTAGATATGTTTCAAAATTATTTTATATACGATGTTGAACTTGTTAAAGTTGTCAAGCTTGAGCTTCTATACCATTGTTGTAATGCTGTATTTCATTTTCTTCTCTACAAATACTACCATGGTTGCTGCTAAATGGAGCTATTATTCAAGTTCCGTTAACCAAAACTTTATCTTGCATCACACTTTATTTAGCAAAGTTGCATAGTGCAACTGCTCCTTCATACTTTAAAAACTTTTTTTAAGGCTGAATTAATTTTTATTCTTACATTTTTTCTTACATTTTTTCTTACGTTTTATTTTACATTTTTTCTTACATTTTTTCTTACATTTTTTCTTACATTTTTTTTAACATTTTTTCTTACATTTTTTCTTACATTTTTTCTTACATTTTTTCTTACATTTTTTCTTACATTTTTTCTTACATTTTTTCTTACATTTTTTCTTACATTTTTTCTTACATTTTTTCTTACATTTTTTCTTACATTTTTTCTTACATTTTTTCTTACATTTTTTCTTACATTTTTTTACATTTTTTTTTATATTTTTCATATATTACATTAACTTATAATTGCTTTGAATGTAAATAAAATTTATTTTAGTTTTTTTAATTGATTTTTTTTTTTTAATTTTCAACTTATTAATTTTACTGGATATAAATTTAAAAAAAAAATTTAATGTTATATCTTTATGTTTTAAAATTTTGAAAATTTTGACTTTAAAAATTTTTAAAGTGTAAAAATTATGGCTCCTTGTGTTTGGCTGACATAATAAAGAAGACTAATTTAGTAAATTATAACTAAATAGTTATGAAAATATTTATTTTTTGCTCTTTTTTTTTCTTTGTGATAGGCCAACTGCAGTTGACAATATTACGAATAATTTTCTACTTAGTTAATTATACAATCAAATATTTACATTTTATTTACCATTGCATTTCAATAGCAAAAAGTGAGACTTGAAGTTTTAAATTAGCTTAAGTTATGATTTTTTTAAAGAATTCAAAGAATTTTTCAAAAATTTTGCTTTAGAGTCAGGCTTTGAGTTGGTGTAGGAGTAGAAACCATAGTCATACTGTAAAAATTTAATCAATTGGAGTTCTATTAAACGACACAGTTCAAATTTGTAAGTTTGAATAGTGTCATTTAAATGTATTTAAAATAGTTGGATCACTGGAAAATTACATGTTCAAAATCTAAGTTGCTTCATGATATCGATACTGTGTGACTTTCAGAAAGGAAATTTATAATTCAATATCGTGCTGTAGGTAATATAATTGTAATGTTGCCATTTTTGACACATAAAGTCACCAAAATTAATTAAACAACAAAATGTTGGATTAGTTTTTAATATTTTTGTAATGAAACAGTTGCAGCTGTACGTGTTAAATTTTCTGAAGCTGAAGAATTTCGCTGAAATAGTTATAGAATCGTGGCTTATTGTCAAAAATAAGCAAAAGGTTTAGATATTAAATTAAATTATGTTCAAAGAAAACCTATTAACTCATTAAATGATTGCCAAATAGATTTCTTAAGTACAAGGTTGTTGCCTTTTTTTTTTTTTGAGAAACCACAATAGCTTTAATGTTAATAAAAAACTGGAGTTTTTTTTTCTTTTCTTTAAATCAAGTAAAATATTTCTCAACATCTAACTAAATAAAAAAAAATCTTTTTATTAAAAACTATTGATGAACTCTACTTAAAAGTATATTAAAAAAAGATTTTTAAGTTTCTTAAAATCCAGTTTTTAAAGTTGGACTTAACCTCGAACTTTCAAACAAAAATTTAAATTTTAAGTAAATCATCGGCCACACTTGCTTGGAACCGCACCATCAGAACTACAATTTAACGTAATGAAACGTTTAGTGAAATAAAAAATAACGTTTAATGAAATAAAAAATCTGTGTGACCATAATTAAATTTCCAAAATATATTTTTTTGCTTTTTTCTTACGAGTTTGTTTGAATAAGTCCTATTCATTAATTATTACTTTGCCCTGTTCAATAAGCTTTGTACTTTATCCACAAATAAAGGGCCAGGCAAAAAACAGTTTTACCTTAATATGAATGGTTTCAAAACTTTAAAGACAGTTGCGTAATTAAATATTTTTGCTACCTTTATGCATGCGTTTACATTTGCTGACATTAAATTTTAATACCCATAATTGTGAACATGTCATTAGTTTGTTTAGATCTGTTTGAGTCTTTTCTATATCAAAAGATGATCTAATTATGTTAACTAGTTTAATATCATCAGCATACATTTTACAGTTCATTGATAACTCATTTGGTAAGTCGCTTATACAAACAATAAACATAATCGGAACCAAGAAAACAATAAACATAAATGGACCCTTG